ACATGTCACTTTGGCAGCCACTCTGTGCAGACATGGCTGGGTCTCCCATCTGTCAGTGCAACTCTGGGAAGAGATTTAGAACTCACGGATGGGAACCAGCATACAGAGGGGGCCTCAAAGAATTCGTGGAAAATGGAATGAAAGGATAACGGAATTTTACCACAAACTATTTGCAGCCTCCTTGTATTTGTAAATATACATGCACACTCAAACACACAAAAACATATAGCCATCTAGAGAAGTAACATTTATCTTGACATAGATCTCAGCATTGCTGACATATCCCCACCAGTAAGGAACTGACTGTGCTGAGGAATACACGCTTGGGATGGCAAAGATATTTGTGTTTTCTCAGCTTATCCAGACTAGAAGCTTCCTCTCATTTCCCATTCACAGCCACCAAAGTCCTGTGGAATCTTTTTCATTGATTTCCTATTCACTCAACAACTGTTGAGCACCTTGTTCTTCACTTAGGGATAGCAGTGTTGCAAGTGAGGAAACAGTAAACAAGACTATATATAGTTCACACTCTCACGAGGCATAGAGTTTTAGTGGAGCTGTAGAATAAGCACTGGACTGCAAGGTCAGTTTGAACTGCAAGGTCGATAGTTCAAATCCACCAGCTGCTCAGAAACCCTGTACAGGGTCGCTAAGAGTCAGAACTGACTTGATGGCACTTAAGTGGAGAGGCATTTTCAGCACAGTTAGCTGTGTTCTAGGGCTACTCATGGAAGCTCAAAGAAGGAAGGACACCTAACTCAGACTCAAAGTGTCTGGGGACAAAATACGAGGACTTGTATCACTGCCATCTTTCTAACTCCCCTGACACAGCCTGGGGAGTTGTCCAGTCTTCTCCTGGGTTTACCTGTCTCTCATCTCATCTGTAATAGAAACCCTTATCTTCAAGATAAAAAGCTAACCTTACAAATGGGGTCTGTTGTGATCTGGACCTCTGTCTGTCTTTCTCCAGGCTTCCACATGCTCCCATAATCCAGTTCTACAGAGCCACCCTATGGCCTGCTATACTCACTCACTGTCTGCTTGGAATAGCTTTTCCCTTATTTCCCAAGACTCCACTCACTGCCAACAAGTCATTTCCGGTTCATAGAAACCCTATAGAAGAAGGGGGGTACTGCTCCATAGGGTTTCTGACACTATATCTTTATGGGAACAGATCACCTCATCTTCCTCTTCTGGAGTGCCTGGTAGGCTCAAACCACCAACCTTTCCGTTAGCTATCTAATTAATGCTCAACCCACTACTGTACCACAAGGGCCCCTAGATCCTGCTTTATCGCCTCTGGGAAGCCTTCCCTAACTTCCTAGCCTGTTATGATATACATTCTAAAGTAATTACAGACACAGGAAAGAATATGTGTCGATTCATTTAGGCTTCAACTTGAGAAGGCAGCTAACATGAACCCTTCAGCTGTTCACACACTGACCAGCACTGAAGCTTTTCCTCTTTAGCTCAGTAACTATCAGCAGTGGTTTTGCTGGTTAATCAGCATGGTGAATATTAGAAATAAACTCTCTTTTTGATACAATACATGATAACGCAAGACATGTAGATTGCACACCTAAAATGACAGAGTTGGGGACGTTGTCAAATTTGCAAAACCAGATGCATGAGCTTGTTTCAAGATTAGAATTCACTTACATATATGTCTGTATGAAAAGCAAAAAGTACAGCCTGCTAAAGAGATAATAGGGGAGCAGCGAACCATTCCTCAGACTCCCTCGTTGGTCTTTTTACCATAAAGAACATACGTGCTGCACTAAATGACAGTCGGTTCTAAACAGAGCCTTTTGTCTCTGCTTTCCCAGCACCCTGGGCATCGTGCATGGCAGGCAATTGACAGTTTACCTGCCTACTGCTCCCACCAGATGCTCAGGACCTTGAGAACAAGGACTGTGCTGTTCATCTTGGCAGTACGCTGCTTAGCTCAGCATCTGGTACAAAGAAATTCTTGCTGAATGAAAATACAGCCCATTAAGTAATGTGATAAAGTGAAAGGACATCTGAGGAAGAGTTGGGAGATGTGCATTTTAGTACTAGTGCCTGGAACAGCGGAGTACTTACTGTGGGTCAGTAATTACTGAGTGCTTGCTATGCGTCAGGAACAGCACTGAGCCCTTAAACATGGCATCTCATTTAATCCTACAGACATCCCTGAGAGACAGCAGCACCATTTCACAACGGAGGAAACAGAGAGGCGAACTTACTCCACAGAATTCATGTGCATACATTGAACAGTCCACCTTTGGATCCAGAGCACATGCTGTCAACCGCTAATCCAGAAATATATCACACAGTTAATATTGAAAACTTAGGCAAAAAAAAAAATTACCCTCTGAATCCCAGTTTCCTCATTTGATCACTGAGTGAGATGAAAAGGCTGGGACTCTTCTAGTCCCAGATGCTCTAGTGTGATGTTCTGAGTGGTGACAGGCAGCGCCTGTGTGCTGTTTGCTATTCTGACAGAATAGATGGAGTTTCCATGTGTACTGTGCTGCTATACAGCATTTGAAATGTTTGTTTCTGCCTTTTCTTTTTCTTTCCCCCTTGGAAAAAGTCTCAGGAAAGTTGGAAGGAATAGAAAAGAGATTCATTTTTGGCATGCTGCCTTGAAAGTAAAACCTGCTGATAGGTACAGAGCTAGCAAATTGCTATTTTTGTTTTTGGATCCTTTACTGACATGGGTGCTGGTTGAAATTGTTTTAAAAAAAGAGCCAGGTGAAAAAACGTACATCTGTGGACACTTCAAGTATCAGAGAAAGAGAAGTGATAAAAGTAAACATAGCAAAAATGTCCATCTGTTTGCCATGTTTCTGCTGCATTGCTGTGGCTGGATAAAGAAAAGGACTCGAGTGGTTCTCACAACCTTGTCTGATCTGTGCCACAAAGTTTTACAGTGTCATTCAAACCGCACTTCTTGAGGACCTTCTTATGTGCTATGTGCTGGAATGTTAAGATCTCAGGCCAGTATTCTTTAGACAGATTCCTGGGGAAACACACATTATTATTATTATATTTTAAAAGTTTTTATTGCGAATTGAGTGAAAGTTTACAGGGCAGATATCAGTTTTACATTCAACAAATCATATACTTTGTTTCATTACAATGATTATAATTCCCTCCATGTACCATCATTTAACAGTATTTCTATTTATTCACTTTAGCTCTTTTTTTAAACACTCATGCATATATAATAAATTACACCACCAATGGGCACAGTCGGCAAGTCTGCCTCCTGGCCGCCAGCTCTCAGTCCCTTTCTTTCCATGACTCTAGAGTCCTCAGCTGCTCCCTCTCTCCATGTCCCCATATCTGCCTCTATCTCTGGCATCGCTGCTTCTCTGGATAAGGTCTCTCAAACACACATTATTAAAAACAACAACAACAAACAAAATAGCTTTCCTTCTTAGAATGTCTCTCATCTATCTGCTTTACTCACTGATAGCAAGGTACTAAGCCTGGTAGACAGGATGGGAATTTTAGAACACCTAGAGTCCCTACACCAGGAAAATTATCAATAGTAATTAAGTAGTGACATCCTAGAGAACACGAAGAAGCATTATGTGCCTTGAAATGATTGCAATCTGGAGTATATATATATATATATATATATATATATATATACATGCATACATACATACATACATACATACACACACACACATTTTTTTTTTACAAAAAAGGAGGGATAAGAGTTTGGATGAGTGAAGCAAGACAAAGTAAATGGCAAGATAGGAATAGATTGTTTTTACAAAAGTCTGGCAAGAGACAAAAAGCTGAGACAATGTCTAATTGCCTCTGGGCACTACAATCTTATACCCAATGGGGTGGGGAGCTAGCAGCATGAAAGAACCCGTCAGAGTGCTCTGCTCTGCTGTTGTGAGCTACCATCAAGCTGGTTCTGACTTACAGCAACCGTATACACAACAGAGGACTCCTGGTGTGGTGCTGTAGGATCAGCACTGGACTATGAATCACAAGGCCAACAGTTTATATCCACCAGTTGCTCCTCAGAAACTCTATACAGGTTCACCATGAGTCGGAACTGACTCGATGGCACTTAACACACACAACAGAAAGAAACACTGCCTGGTCTTGTGCCATCCTCACAGTTGTTGCTGTGTTGAGCCCACTGTTGCTGCCACTGTATCAGTCCAACTTGTTGTGGGTCATCTTCTTTTCATTAACCCTCCATTTTACCAAGCATGATGTCCTTCTCCAAGAACTGGACCCTCCTGACAACATGTCCTAAGTACACTGGTCAAAGTCTCACCATCTTCGACTCCAAGGAGCATTCTGACTCCTTTAAAGACATATTTGTTAATTCTTCTGGCAGTCCATGGTGTATTTAATATTCGTCACCAGCACTATAATTCACAGACATCAATTCTTCTTATTCATTGTCTACCTTTGTTAAACATATGAAGGGGCTGATCATGGCTTGGATCAGGTGTACCTTAATCCTCAAACTGAAATCTTTGACTTTTTTTAATGTTTTATTGTGAATTATATGATAGTTTACATGGGAGAACTTTAGTTTTACATTCCATTCCATCGTATATCATCTCACTGCCATGGTTCCAGTCCCCTCCATGCATCCTCAACCGCCCAAAGGATATATCCCAGAAACCCGCTCCCTACACTTCCCCCTTCTCCCCCCAGTTTTCAGCCCACAGTCCCTTTCCCTCTCTGGGTCCAAAGTCCCTAGTCACTTCATCACTCCGTGTCATCATCTCTGCCTCCATTTCAGGCATCTCTGTTTCTCTGGGTAGGGTCCTGCTCTCGGCTCTTCTCCGTTGATGGTCCCAGAGGCCTCCGCTCCTATCCTGGAGAATCAATCACTCCCTTCCTTGATACAAAACTTCTACCTTTGCATTTCCAACCCTCATAATCCATCCTGATAAACATTATTCACTACAGTATCACGAGTTATCCATCTGTATCTCCTTTCGTCAGCTCTGCCCAGACAGATTGAATAGTACCTTCTGGAGATTCTGCTTTCTGCCATGCTCCCTAGCACCAGGTTCCCTCTTGAAAGCTTATAAGCCAGTCACTTGTTGCCTTTGTAGTCCCTCCCCTCCCCATTTGAGTATCCAATGTCCAAGCTGCCCTTCTCAGTCCACTCTGTGTGGGGGTGTGTGTGTGAAATGTTTGACTTTTAAAGAGTAGTCTGACAGCAATGAAGCTGTGGGCTAAGTCCGACCACATTCAATAGACTCCTGTCAACCTGGATTGAGACCTGGTTGGCCAGCAGTATAGCAAGACCTGGGCACTGCTGAGCTTATGGACAGGGATATAGCCACAGAGGAGAAGAGCTGAGAGTGAAGCATCCAGCAGATAGGAAGTGAGAGGAGATGCACAAGAATGCCCATACTTGCAGATAGTACCCATCTGACCTAGCTTCAACGGCTGGATGATTAGAACTTGACTAGAGGAAGAAAGAAGAGGAAAAAAAAAAAGTGTAATCCTGCCACAATTTGATGAACTTGACCTATACTTATGGATGTAGTAGCTTAAAAGAGGGAATGAATCTTTACAGCAAGGGTCATTTCTACCCCCTCTGTACACAGGGTTGACAGGGATGAGTAACTTAGACATTGACTACCCAAAGGTGGGGAAGCTACAAATGCATGAAGTGACTGGCTTACAAGTTTTCAAGAGGGAGCTTGGTTTCAGAGGGTGCAGGGAAAGGTAGAATCTCCACTGAGTGGTTTCCAACATGTCTAGATGAAAGGAGATGGAGATAAGACTCCTGTGGTTCAATAGTGAATAATTGCTATCAGGACTGATTGCGACTGTTGCAAATGTAAAGGTAGACGTTTTATAACAAAAGGAGGGGAGTGGTTGATCTTGCAGTCCAGTGGTGGAGGACCCTGGGACCATCAAGGGAGAAGAGTGGAGGGCAGGACCCTATCCAGAGAGGCAGCGACTCCAGAGATGGAGGCAGAGATGATGACATGGAGAGACGGAGCTGCTGGGGACTCTAGACTCAAGGAAAGAGAGGGGCTGTGTGTTTGCGGCTGGGAGGGCAGGCTTGCAGGGTATGCCCTTTGGTTGTTTGAATGGTTATATATTCCTGCGTGTTTCAGTGTACATAAAAAATACAACAACAGAGGGACTGGAAGCAAATGCTGTTGGATGATGATGCATGGAGGGGATAGTAGTCATTGCAATCAATTGAAATACAAGATAGTCTGAAGTTTAGGAAGATGTGTGAACTCCTGAGCCCATGAGCACTGACTGACCTAGCCCCTGGGGGCTAGGGCTGAGAGTGAAGTGGACAGCTGATCTGAAGTGCAGGGAGGTAGGTGTGTATGAACTCCCAAACTTGCAGCTAGTATCCATTTGACCTACGTTGTATGGCTAGTTAACCAGAACATAAAATGAGGAAGACAAAGACAGTTGATACTTACAGCAAGTGCAAATTGCTACAACTAGTTTTTCCTACAAATGCAGTGACTCAAAATTCCAACCAGAATGGAAGGATTCTTCATATAAATGAACAACCTTATTTGATAGGGATGAGAAGTTTAGACATTGGCTATCAAAAATAGGGGGCTACACAGGCACTAAGTGGCTGGTTTACAAGTTGCTTAGTTGCAGAACGAGAGGGAGTAAGGTAAAATCCCCACTGAATAGTTAGTTTCCGTCTTTCCCAGATGGATCTGGTGAAAGGGAATGGGGGACGACAGTGATAGGATTTTATGTCTCAGTTGTGAATAACTGTTAGCCGGCTTGATTGCGATTGTCACAACTGTAACTGTAGAAGAAGTATACCTAAAAGGAGGGAGTAAAGTATTCTTCCATTTCAGGAAAAGATGATCCCAGGATCATCAAGAAGGAAAAGCATGAGTGGAGCGTGAGATCCCTACCTAAAAAATGGTGACGGCAAAGATAGTGGCTGTGTGCCTGCGGTCAGAAGGCTGGCTGGCAGAAAGTGCCCTTTGAACACATACATGAATATATATTTTTTTGTTTTGTAAATGTACATCAAATATTTTTGCCTTGTTCATTTGTGAAAAATAAGATGTAAATGAGGAGCAACAGGGAGGAAGTGGGATAAATGTTCTTGAAGGGAGGGGAGTGTAATCACTGAGATGAAACAAGGGGTATGGTTTGCTGAATGTAGAGCTGACGATTTTGTCTTTAAACCTGCACCCAGTTCACAATATTTTTTTTTAAAAAATGAAATCCTTGACAATTTTGATATTCTCGCTGATATTCATGGTGTTGTTTATTCGTCCAGTTGTAAGGATTTTTCTCTTCTTTAGGTTGAAAGGTTGTTGTAAGATGCCATTGAGTTGACTCCAACTCTTAGCGACACTACGCACAACAGAATTAAACACTGCCCAGTCCTGCTTCATTCTCACAATTGCTGTGATGCTTGAGCTCACTGCTGCTGCCATTGTGCCAGTCCATCTGGTTCCGGGTCGACCCTCCAATGTATCAAGCATAATGTCCTTCTCCAAGGACTTGTCCCTCCTTATAATACGTCCAAAGTATGAGAGACAAAGTCTCATCATCCTGGCTTCTAAGGGGAATTCTGGCTGCACTTCTTCCAAGACAGATTTGTTGGCTCTTCTGGCAGTTCATGGTACTTACAATATTCTCACCAAGTCACAATAAAAGCTTTAAAAAATTTTTTTAGAGTACAACTAGAATGCTCCTTAGAAGCCATGATTTTTCATGTCGAGCATTGATGGTTGGTGCCTAAATTTGAATAATAATACAATTAACTGGTCTTCCTTGTAGGTGTATGTACATTATGGTATCACTGACAGAACTGTATTTCAAGATAGATCTAGAAATGGTTTTTTTTTTTTT